ATTCATAAAATAATGGAATGTGCTGAAATGAGTAAATTGACATTTGAAATTTTATTTGTGGTTAGATAAAAAAATATGGAAATGAAAACTAGAATGTTGTAAATATAAGAACAATTGAATGATATAGAATATAACATAAAAATATTTTACTACTAGAGATATTTGAGATGAACTGCTATGATGTAAATGATCCCAATACTTAATATCTCTTGTGGAAAATGAAGAATATTGGTGACAGTCAAATAAATGATGTACAATAATAGTAATGTATAAAAATATATTTGATTTGATAATATGTGATTTCATATGAATTGTAAGTGATCACTATGGAAGGGATGCACAGAAACCTTGTAAACAAACGACACACTGTTTGTAACAGAAGTTGGTTTTAAGTTTTTTTGTTTTATTTGTTTGTGTTTGTCTAAAAGTAAAAACCTTTTTTTTTTTTAAAAAGGAACTCAACCGAGTGACCATAACATCAGACGCCAGCCTCTTTGGCTGGGGCGCTTGCAGCCAGTCTCACTTAACTCAGACCCGATGGTCACAGGAGGAGTTGGAGAACATCAACTGGCTGGAACTCAGAGCAGCTGTTCTGGCCCTCCGGCAGTTCCAGGACAGGATAGCAGGCTCACGTGCTTTTGTTGATAGAAAACGTGGCCACAAAAGTACATCTACCAGGGGGCACCTGTTCCAGAGCTCTCATGTGCGAAGAAGAAGCTAGGGCTCTGGGTGGAGACCAATCTCCTCTCCATAAGAGGAGTCCAATGTCCAAGCGGACGGGCTGACCAGATCGACCATTGATCACTCTGAATGGCATCTCCATCCAGACCTGTTCCACTGCTTGTCGGAGAGGTTCGGCCAGCACACAGCAGACCTGTTTGCCAGTCCACAGAACTCTCACCTACCGAGATTTTTCTCCAGGTTTCAGTCACCAGGCGCAGAAGGCGTCAACGCCCTTCACAGTCCTTGGCTTCAGGGGCTCCTGTACGCCTTTCCTCCACTCCCCCTCATTCCGAGGGTCATCAGGAAGGTGCTCGTGGAGAGAGCAGAGGTTCTCCTTGTCACACACACACCCCCACTTGCCCAGACACCCCTGGTATGCCAACCTGGTCAATCTGTCAGTGTCACAGCCCTGAAGAATTCCTCCAGACATGATCTCTCTCTCAGCCAAAGGTCGCTGGTTCATCCAGATCCCCAGTGGCTCCAGTTGACAGTTTGGCACTTGAGAGGGACAACCTGAAAAGGGGTGAGTTCTCTGGGAGAGTCATCCGGACTATTCAGGCCTCCAGACGCCAATCAATCAATTGGATTTACAACGTGAAATGGGTCGCCTTCTGCAGGTGGCGCACCAGGAGACACATTGACCCACTTTCAGTGGCTACACCACAGCTCCTGGACTTTCTCCAGGACAGACTAGACAGAGGTCTATCCAGCACTTTTAGGTGGCAGGCGTCCGCTTTGTCCACGATGTTGACCAGTGACAACAGACATCCCATTTCTCATCATCCAAAGGGGTGCAGTTTCCTGAAGGGCGCTGCAAACTTGAAGCTTCCTGTGGTGCATCGTTACCCCATATGGGACCTTTTCATCATCCTGCAGGCGCTCACCTTGGCACTGTTAGAACTGTTGACTTCTATCAGTCTCTGGCTACTCACCCTTACTCTGGTTTCTCTTCAGATCGCATAAATCTTTCGCCTTTTTCACCCTTAAGGTACCTTTCCTCGTAGTTTCAGCTAGGAGGATCTTAGAGCTAGGGGTGCTGTTGGTTCAAGAGGACTTGTGCATTTTCAGGCCCAACAGAGTCATCCTGTGTCTAGATCCGTCATTCATTCCAAAAGTGAACTCCTAGTTTCACAGGATGCAGTTAGGAGATAGTTTTGCCGGATTTTTGCCCAGGAGCCACCCACCCTCTTTAGAGGTGGTGGCATACCTTAGATGTTTGGAGGGCGCTCCGTCGATATATCAAGACAGCGTCCTTAGAATGGACAGAATTGCTTTAGCCAGCCTCTATGGGGAAAAAGGGGATCCCCTCTACCATCGGGCGCTGGCTGATGGCTTGCATAGTGGTGGCTTACAAGCACCACGCTCGTCCCATTCCAAGACATATTGCAGCCCATTCAACTCGCAGCACAGCAACATTGGCGACCTGGGCTACTCAGCTAACTGGGCTTCACCATCATCATTTGTCAGGAATTAGAAGTTGGACTTATTTGCCTTAGCAGAAGCATCCTTTGGTCAACGGGTGCTAGAGAGAGTTCATTCTTCGGAGCAGACTCTGGACCAGTTGGCTTCCCACCCTTGAGACATTAAGCTTGGGTATATCCCATGCTTAGATTCTCCAAGGAGCACACATGAGAAAGAACTTTGGTCCTACCTAATGGTTGATCTCTGTGTGCTGTGGGAGAATCCAATCCACTCTGTTTAACTTTGGTCCAGACCAGCATCTTCTAGATCAGCATCTTTGGGGTCTATGCCTTCATCGAAAAACTGGAAGTAGTTGAGCAGTGGAAGTATGGCCAAAGCTTTCTTCTCAGTCTCTAGACAACTGGACAGAAGTTAACCCATGCTTGGATTCTCCTGCAGCGCACAGAGAACAATCATTCTCTGTGAATGAAGAGAGTGTTAAAAACACTCTTTTTCATTATTTTTAACTTATGACTATTCATTGCCGAGGGTCATATGTCTGAAATGGGTATCTGTGGAAAAAAATTAATAAATTTTTTAATGAATTTTTCCCAATTTTAGTTCCACAGGAGTCATGGACCCCCCTGAAGTTTGGGCATATTCTATAAGTTAATCTATTTGAGGTAGCTTGGTTCAAATGGTTGCCCTATGAGCACATTTTCACTCAATTAAGTTATACACATGAAAGGACCCCTGAAGGATTAGAGCATACACAGAGTGTAACCTAATTCAGCTTTTGTTAAATTGCTGTTGAGAAAAGCTCCATTGTAACTTAACATGCCAACTTCATAGATAAAACTTCTAGCTGAATTGCCAAGCTTAGCCTAGCAAAGTAACTACTTGTGAAAAGTAAAAAAGTGGATTCAGTAAAATAATCTTGCGTGCAACTTGAAATGTGTGTTCAGCATTCCCTAAAAAAGCTGTCTTATATGCCAGAAAAATTATTTCTTTCCTCTTCTGAAGTCTATTGTTTTCAGTGTGCTGAGAAAAATCATGAGGTTTCTGTAACATGAAATAATGTTTCTAAAACTATGACGATCTGTACAAGCTGTGCAAAGACTATAAGAAGTTTGACAAAAGTTTTTTTTCACGACCGGATGGTGAGGCTCGCGCCTGTTTTCTCTCTCTTTATGCCTGTTCTGTTAAGATGGGAGACAAAAATGCCCTCAAGTCTTTTTCTTTCTGCAGAAAATAAAAACTGATTATCAGTAGCCTCATGTTTAGAGTTTCATTGGAATTATCAGATTTTGAGCTGAATTAAAAAACTTTACACACAAACAGGACAGTTTTAGTAATGCTGTATATAGATAACTAATATCATGCAATAGGTACTGTAGAAAAAGTTGGTCATAAATAATGTGACCAGGACTAATCAGCTAAAGACTTATAGAAGGTGTGTTTTTCTAAACTTTACCATTTTGTATGCACCATGCCAAACTCTGATAATAAAATGGGCGGCTACGGCTGCTAGGACCCTTGTGAAAATCCTGGGGCTGATGAGACCCAAAGGGGAGAGCCCTGTATTGGAAGTGTTTCCCCTGGTAGCAGAACCACAGGAACTGCCTGTGGTCCACGTGGATTGGGATATACAGGTAAGCCTCTGTGAGGTTCACCAAAGTGAAGAAGTCATTCTTTCGGACACACTCTAAGATGGTCAACAGAGTGCATCTTGAACCGCCGGTAAACAATATGGTGGTTCAAGCGTTTTAAGTCAAAAATAGCTCTCCAACCCCCCTGAGGTGTTTGGAACAATGAATAAGAGAGAATAAAACCCCTGTCCTCTCGGGACTGGTTGAACTGCCCTTATGTCCAGAAGATGCCAAATTGTTTGGTCTGCTAGCCGTTTCTTGTCTTGATACCGGACAGGTTCTGAAAGACCTTGGGGGGCAGGATAGGAACTCGAGGGAGAGGCTGAATTTAATCATCTCCCTGACCCAGGTGTCCATGGTTGTTCCTCCCAACGGGAGGCAAAGAAGGTAAATTGATGGCAAGGTTTGGTAGGCAGTCACTTCTGCCGCTGAAAGGAACAACCAGATCTCCCTCTGTAGGACCTTCTGGGCTGGTACTTCTGGCCACCCTTGCCTGATCTATCCTGCTGTTGGCCCTGATGGGGCTGAAACTGGCACTGAGGATGGGAGAAGTTGGCCCCCCAGTCCGCCCCTCGAAAGGGCTATCTACAATAGAATGGGCAGGGCGACCCTCTGCCTTTTTATATTGAGATGGAAGAACTTTTCACTTATCTTTGGACTTGACCAGCAGGGGTTTCAGACCCCCCCCCCCCCGAACAGCTTATCTTTGGCCAAGGCCCAGCTGCAAGATGTCACTTGTGTCTGGCGTCCACCTGTCATTGGCGTAGCCAAAGGAGATGTCTGGTTGCCACCAAGGCTCCCATGGCCGTGGTAGAGAACTGGGTTGCACTCAAGGTGTCAGCCGAGAAGTCTATGGCCACCTTAAGCTTACTGAGGTCCTGATGGGACCTGGAATCCGACGCCGGAATCCTACCCTGCAATTCAGTGAAGGGAGGCCCTAGTTCTTGACCAAAGTCTGCTCTGCCCACCTGTCCTCCAGTCACAAGGATTCCTCTGGAGCTCCTGAGATAGCTGAGGGGGAAGACAGGGTCCCTATTGGTGCATCTACAGATGAAACATCCAGCAACTTGGTCAAGTTGGGGCCCACATTGTAAAAATGTTTATCCTGACTGCTAGGGAAAGGATCCAAACCTGGGGAGTTCCATTGTCTCTGAACTACGTCCAGAAATAATTTAAGAGGAGGGAACCACTTCCTTCTCCACTGCCCCTCTAAATAAAGGAGGTCTGAAGTTTTTCCTGATACCGAGGGATCAACTTGAGAAGAAGGTGGACCGGATCCCTTTGTCTTCAGATAAATCAGAATCCCTACGGATCTCGCCCTCTTCATCTTCAGAGTTAAAAGATCTGTTTGGTGACTTAGCCACTTGAGCAGTGGGCTGGGATGTTGATCTGCGGCATGCCCTGTCCCCCCTATGGGCCCTGCCGCCCTCTGAAGAGCAACAAGAATCTCCCTGATGTAGCTCAGTGGTAATGCCCGGTTTAATGGGTTCCCAAATTATTGTAACCATATCCGGCAAGGGTGTCTGCACACTCTGCAAAGGGCTAGGGTCAGGTGAAGGAGATGCCAAGAAAGCACCCCTGGGTCAAGGGAAGGTGGTAAGGATGGAGAATCTGACTGCAGGCCCTCAGGAGCTGACAAGGGAATGTCGTCACTGTCAGGAGACAATTCCCTCAGGTGGATAGAGGCCTGGGCTGCAGTGGGCTCAGGTAGCGGTGGAGTACCCTGGCTTTGGGGCTGCACAGCTCCTCTCTTAGTTGCCTCCTTCTGGGTCCTTGCAAATTCCCTATCAAGGGCTCTTTGACGCCTGCTCTCCACCTTCTGTGAAGCCTTAGAGGCTTTAGCAGGAGGATCCTGCTGACTAAGTTGGGAAGGATCTGCCTTCTTTCTCCCAGCCTTCACCCCCAATGGCCCAGCTATCACCTCTTGAAGCGTTGATGGTTCAGCGGGTGGTTCTGCATCAGCCATGGCCTGTGTCTGGATCACAACTGCCTGGGAAAATCAGGCACACTCCTCACCCCCAAGTGGGTGATTGCATGCAAGATCAGGCTCTCCTGGGGCCTCTCTGCTTCAAAAAGCGGGCTCACCTGGGCCCTATAAGAAATTTGGCTCTCCTGGGCCTTTTCTTGCACTTCACTAGGCTCTCCCGGCCAGGGTGAAGACAACTGCTGCGATATGGAGCTGTAAAACGGCGGCCGGAGCTTTTGCGCCAAAGATGGTTCAAAATGGCGGTCGGCCCCATGAGGACTCCTAAAATAGCAGCCGCTAACAAAGGAGCAAGCCACGGCTCCCCGTCAGTCTAAAAACTTGCCCTGCTGCTTTTCACACCTCTGCGGCCACGCGGCACAGATGATGAACAAGGCAGACCATCTGGAACCTCATTCCAGTGGCGGAGTACTGGCATCACTGTCAGGTGGCTCGACGAATCCTGGGGGAGCCAGGAATATCTTGGGCTGCTCTACATGTGGCTTTCAATAACAGGGAGCAAGCCTCTACAAAAAAAAAACTTTTCCACTCCAAACTATCAATTTGTCCTGAAGAAAAAACACTTTCTGAGGAGAGAAGCTTTTTTTCCATCTAGTCCCAATGGAGACTGAGTCTAAAGCAGGAGGGAGCCAGTAGAGGAATCAGGATATTGAAAAAAATGCAGACTCAGTCTCTATTCGATCAGACAGAGTTAACCCATTCTGGATTCTATCTCCACCAACAATGGAGGATAAACCTTGTCTGTAAACACTAGTTTGTAATAAAGTTACAATGTACAGGTAGTCCTTGACTTACAACTTTTGACCCAGTTTTGAAACTTCAGTGACTGCAATACCCTTGAGGTCATTTGTTATTAAGAACAATTGCAAAGACACTGTGATGCTCTCTGCCTATCTCCCACCATTGCCCTGCCAGGTGCCTGGGACTGCTTACCAACCGATTGAATTCCACACTTCTCCTCACTCCTTCACTGATCACACATTCAACTATGAAAGAACCCTTGGAGGTCCAAGGTTCTTATTAGGGAGAAAGGGCAGGCTACTGCATCCCTAGATCACATGGCTCCCTTCCAGAAGCAGGAAACATTTTCTGAAAATGGCACCTACTTCCAGAATGGAGCCCAGGGATGCTGAAGGCAGAATGGCTTGTCCCTCCTTCTCTAACATGAGCATCAGATCTTCCAAAGGTGAGTGAATGGTGACGGGTGGGGATGGGGTGGGCAGTGACAGTGGTTTGGGCCAAGTAGTATGGCCGAAGAATTGCCTAAGGCTAACAAATACTCTGAGGGGCAGGAAATGGAGCATGGGTGCCTTCATACATGGGGGAAGCCTTGGGACACCTGGAGCTGGTGGGCTGGGCGTGCAACTAGGCCTCCCAGGGCCTTCTCCATCCAAGGCATTCTGTGCTTCACTTAACAACCCATGCCAGTTACTTAATGACTACATTGGGGAAAACCAAAACCAATAGGATTGGGAGTTGAGGGCTACTTATTACCACTTTTTCTCTTTGGCATCTTCTTAGTATTTTTATTCATGCTACTTCAATATCTTAAGTTTATAAATTCCTTTTTCCTCCACTGGTCTGATTCTGTAAGAAAACTTTATCTTTGAATAGTTTGATTTGTACATGTATTTGAGAAAAATGTTAGGTATCAAAATTTTAGAAATTACCTTAACAAAATCTCTATCCGTTTTCTCCTTCCATTCTTCACCAAACACAGTAGAAAATGAACCTAAAGCTATAAAAAAGCATTAACATTATCATTAAATTGATAAAAATATTTCAAAGAATATAATTTTAAACCCGCTGTTTTATAGTAAACCAAGCTAATTTATTTGGTTTATTACCTATATATTTTACTTTATTTGACATCAGTATTAGTGTTTATTAAGAAGCAATTCTAAAATTGTTATAGTTGGATAGGAAACTATTTGTTTGGACCACATCAGTCTTTAGATTTTCACAGGTGTAGGTATGCTGGTCTTGTTGTATTTGGGTCTTTTCCCATGTAAGATTGAGATTATCTTGGCAACGTTTCGGCGAGGTCTCACTCGCCATCTTCAGGCTGGGCTTTGGGCTTAAAACGTGGTCGGAGCTGCCATCTTTCTATAAATCTTGGTGTGGGTGTGTGGAGTGCTGGCTTTGTTTCAGTAGGTGGAATGATTGGTTGTGTGGTTGTATCATGATTGGTAGATTGGTGCTGATTGGTGCTGGCTGTGTGTCCGTTGTTGTTTCAGGATGTAATGGCCTGGGTGGTGGGTGGGGCTCGTTTGTTGACCACTTACTGAAACAAAGCCAGCACTACACACACACACACACACACACACACACACCAAGATTTATAGAAAGATGGCAGCTCCAACCATGCTTTAAACCCAAAACCCAGCCTGAAGATGGCGAGTGAGACCTTGCAGAAACATTGCCAAGACAATNGCATATATTATTCTCGCTGCCATTATGATATGTATAATTAAATATTGCATTTTTGTCATATTTCCTTGTAGGTATTCCCAATAGAAATAATTCCGGTTTCATATCTATTTGCTGTTTAGTAATTTCTTCAAGCCATTTTCTTATTCTATTCCAATATTGTTTAGCCTTTGGGCATAACCACCACATATGGGAATATGTTCCTTGATTTTGCCTACATTTCCAACAGTCCGATGAGTTCGGGTACATTTTAGTCAGTCTCACTGTTGGGAGATGCCATCTATAGAACATTTTATACATATTTTCCTTGTAGGCTACTGCCATTGTCAATTTATAATTTTTATTCCAAAATTTTTGGCCCAAGTTATCATAATTTCTTTAACTTCCTCCTCCTCCATTCTGTAATTCAATAAGTAGTTACATAATTTCTTGATCAATTTATCCTGTGTACCTTGTAAAATTTTATCTAGATCTTGCGGTTCTGTTTAGAATCCATACTGTTCTTTATCTTTCTTATATCTAGCCTGTATCTGCATATATGGCCACCAATCAATGTCTATGCCTTTCTTTTAGTCCTAATCTTGTTTTTAATTCTCCCTGATCGTTTAGTAAATCTTTATATCTTTTTATTTTATCTATGTCTAATACATTTGGGTAGATTAATGCTTCATTGATAGCCAATTTGGAATTTTAATATAGTGTTTTTCTTTAATTTTTTGCCATACTTGCAGCAAAGCATCCCTAATTAAATGTTCCTGAAAATAACTGTGGGTTTTATTTTTGCCATATAAATGTGTGCCATTCTAACTGTAAGTCATGGCCTTCTAAAATCAGCGTTCTTTAATTTTTAAAACTCAATTCAATCTTTGATCCACATAATTGCCGCTGCCTGGTAGTAAGTCTCCCAATCCAGGAGCTTGAATCCTCCTCTTTCTCTACTATCCTGCAATAGTTTCATTTTAATCCGTGCTTTTTTACCCGGCCAAATATATTTCATAGTTGGCTTATTTAACTCTTTAAAAAAGCTTTTACCTAATTTTATTGGTGCTGTATGAAAGAAGAACAGTATTCTTGGTAAAATGTTCATTTTTATGGCAGCTATCCTTCCTATAAGGGACAGTAGTTTTTTCATGTTTCCAAATCTTTTTTAATCTGTTGTATTAATTTAGTTTGATTATCTTCTTTGATTGAAGAACATCTGGCTGATAGCCAAATTCCCAGATATTTTACTTTTTGGTAACTTATATGCCCATTCTTTCTTCCAATTCTCTTTTCTGTTTTTTAGTAAGCTTTTCATAATGCCTTTGTTTTATTTTTGTTAATTTTAAGTCCTGCTACTCTACCATATTCTTCTATGTGTTGTACCAGTTCAGATCCTGTCTCTAGCAATTGTTCCAATATAAATACATAGTTGGTATACTTTCTGTACATCTCGTCTATATCTCTCCACATATGCCGTTTGTCCCTCTGCAGTACCTTTGCTAAAAGTTCTGCCATCTTCTCACCTAGATAACTGATGAAAAGGTAATTAAAAAACTATATGGATATTTGTTAGAGGTTAAGATAGAAGAAGAACAAGTTAAAGAACCTGTGATAGCTTGCGGGGGAAACTTTGGACATGGGATTGACTTAGAGAATTGGCAGAAATTGTGGTCTCAAAATTATAAAATGACAATGTCAACAGGACATAAAGAAATTTGTAAAGATGTTTTACAGGTGGCATCTACCCCCGACGAGAAAAACAAAAATGTTCAAGAACAAATCGGAAAAGTGTTGGAAATGTCAGTAGATACCAGGTTCATATTACCATATGTGGTGGACTGGCATAGAAGCTGAAAAAATGTTGGACTAAAATCCACACTTGGTTGGAGAAAATGATACAAAAACACATTTAGACCAGAGATCTTTTTATTGGGAATCATACCGGAAACATACAATAGAAAACTGAAATATTTAATTGTAAATGTGCTAACAGCAGCTAGAATTGTATTTGCTTAAAATTGGAGAAATGAGAAAATACCAGTGCAGGAGGAAGTTATTCATAAAATAATGGAATGTGCTGAAATGAGTAAATTGACATTTGAAATTTTATTTGTGGTTAGATAAAAAAATATGGAAATGAAAACTAGAATGTTGTAAATATAAGAACAATTGAATGATATAGAATATAACATAAAAATATTTTACTACTAGAGATATTTGAGATGAACTGCTATGATGTAAATGATCCCAATACTTAATATCTCTTGTGGAAAATGAAGAATAT